CGGGGGGAGCGGGGGGCGGCCAGGCGGCGGGGTCTGTACGGACACGCGTCTGTACCCGCGGGGGCACTGCCGCAGCCCGCGCACCCCACATCTTCGGGCAGATGCAGCTGGGGAGCGGGTGGGATCCTCAGACGGACGCAACATCCCACAAAACAAACAGGGAGAGTCGGGTTTTCTGCCTGTGGGTTGTCGGGAACTGCCGCTGTATCGAAACGGCTTCGCACTGCAGCGGCTCGGAGGGACTCGAGAGCCCGCCGAGGCGCGCTGGCATGGGGCTCGGGCTCGCAGGCGAGCTCTGGGTCTGGACGGGGAGAGCGATGCTGGCAGAAACGCAAGCAGCCTTGTAGCTACTTAAACGTGAACCGATTGGTAATGCATCTCTGGCCGGACTGTCCTCTGTGCCCAATATCTGCAAAATAAGGTCATGTCTACATATGCATCTTAACACACTTTCAGAGTCCAAAAAGTACACCGAAGCAGCTTGGGTGAGATTCTACTCCTTCAGCATGTTCACTGTAACTGTGCAGACCAGACACATCTAACACAGTTTTTATTTATTTGAATTTTCATACCTGCGCAAGTCTAATACATTTAGAAATTGCACCCAGTTCTTGAAGTCTGCCTCTTCAGTGCTGGGCTGACATCATCTGCTCTGTGTTACACAAAATACAGTAAGTTATTTGTGTTTTGCTCTTAAGAAAATCAGATATGAACAGTAAATGTGCATGAACACCGTGCTCTAACAGCATCCCAGACAGTCATGCCATCTTTTCGCATCTTTTAAATCCACTTTTATAATTTTTCATACTACTGCTGATTCTTTTTGGAATGCCAGTCTTTGTAGTGACAGAAAAGAGGGTGCCACCTCTGTAGACTAGGAAAGGGGTGATATTACAGCAACCACAGCTGATGCCTGGAAAGTCCATCTTGGCAGCTCCTCACCTGCAAAAGGTGCATGATGAGGTAAAGTTTGGGAGATGTTTGCTGTTCTTATTTGCAAGTGCTTAACTCAGTATATGTGAGAAACAGTGAAGATGAACAGTCACTGCCACTCCTTTTCTTGCACGTGGGGAGGAAAATTGCTTACAAGTGGTACTGCATCCCCAGCACGGATGGTAAAGCTACTCATAGTACACATTTCTCCAGCCTCTAGCACTGAGCCTGTCATTCCACCATACCTGGCAATACTAATCAGCTCTCTTAGTCTCCAGTACAAGATGGCCACATCCAAACTTCCTGTTGGGTATGATCTATGCTAACCCCCAAACCGCATCGCAAATTGTTCAAGAGAGCACTCACTGGCCAGGGCAAAACCATGCCAAGGTCAGCTTGAGGGTAGAGACAATCAGCTTCCAGTCCCAAGAACATTTGCTGGCACTGATTATTTCATTAGCATGAATGTAACCCAAAATCCATGAGTGAAACTGCTTGTAAATGCCACAGATTTTGCCCAGCTGTGCAACCATATTGTGGACTCCCATCTGCCCTTTTTTTCCTAAGGGCTTGTTATTTAAAGATACTTTTGTATATGTATTTGATCTCTTCTACAAAAATACCAATAAAGGAATCCTACAGCAGGAAGAAAGAGAAGAAATGTATTAATAGTAGGATTTTATCTGTCTTGAATAGAATTATCACTGATAAGAAATGGATAAACAGAAATTGTGTTAGATGCCGTTCCATAACATGCAAGCTCCATTTCTTAAAGGTATATCCATGTACTCAGAAACAGGTTAAATTAATAGCAGACTGTGCTTACTAATTGGAGATATCTAAAGCTCTGGGTCCCCTGAGCACACCCCCTTCATTCCCTTCCCAATCCAACATGAAGTCTCCTCCGCTGGAGTTATAACACCCTCTGACTCCCTGTGCCTTGTCAGAAGAAGCTTAAAGCCCCTTTTCATCATTTCATTCCCAAATAGGATATACTACACTGTACTTATATGTAGAAGGTTTTCACGATTAAATGTACCATTTAGGAATCAAATGTGGTACATAAGGATCCAATAAGTTCCCAGTTAGCGCAAAACTTAAACACATAAGAGCCCACTTCAAGCATAATTTTAAGAGTCACATCTTACCAGCATCTAAACAAGGTCACAATTTTTAAAAGTGCTCTGCAGCTGCTAATTTTCACTGTAACATAAGTTGTGATTTCCCCAAAACATCACTTCAACTCCTACACTCTTTTATCAAATGTTGTCTTTCTTTGGCCCTAACAACACTAAATACTGTACCTGAACAGGGACTAGTTGAACAGGGACTGTGATGGTTCCTGTGAGAAAGCCAGCCTCAGGAGCTCCCTCTCCCATTCTCCACCAGGCACCTCCCAGCTCTGCACTCTGCAGCCCTCCCAACCCTACTCTGCAGCCTGTGCCATATAGCTCTTTCTGGAAGGAGGTTTAATTCTAACACAGCTCATTTCAGTGGCTCCATTTGCAACACAGCCCCACAAGCTGCTATCAGCACAGTATGTAGGTAGGAAACTGTGGAGCATGGGCAGATATGAGGCAAAACAAGGAAATTTTAATTCAACTTCAGCCCTATAGCCAGTGTATGCTAGAACTATACCATGTATCTTAAGCATCCTCTGCACATTTCTGTGCATACAGGGAATAAAAATGAGTCAGGAGTAGTTGGAAAATAAGCATAGTTACAGAGAATGTCCTGAGCTGATACCTTGTTCATGTTCACTGTGTTAAACTATTTGTTCTGTTGGACCTGACTTGTGTTTCAAGGTAAGCATCATTTATCATGCAACCTTACCGATTACAGGACTCTTACATTCCCCTGCGCTCTGTTAATCTCCTCATTTCCGTTTACAGTTGTCTACACTAGGGTTTTGTTATGCAGTTACATGTCACTGTTTAGTGTGATCTAGGTCAGACTCAAACAAAAACAAGGAGCACTTCAGTTTGTGCTAAATTGGTCAAATTTAAACTTAGTGGAGCCTAGATTTGAAAAGCTTTTCCATACCCATCAGTTTCTGTTGTAAAGCACAGAACATCCTCAGCTAAAAAACACCTGTCCATCCAGAACAGGCAGATGAAATGGATTACATTGGTTCTATTAAACAGCTGGGAGAGCTGTGTTTAACTAAACAAAAGACCTTACCCGGGCTACACATTATTTTTAAGACCATAGAAACAACCATGTCTCAGGCCTAAGTAGGTTTTAAATGCCTGGCTCTGACAAACACCTGAGAGACTAATTTGTGCACAAAACTGGAAGAAGGGAACTGCACAGCAACTTATTGAGATCACCATGTGAGGGAAATTTGTTTTGGACCTGACTTCTGCATATTAGGAATAATTTTGAAAGAGTATAACCTAGCATGAAAGGATTTAATAATATTCAACTGCTCCAAGCCAGGGAAGTGGATACTCTGGAGACACAATTTGAGAGGTAAAACAGGTTGTCATTGTGTTTGACATGCCAACCAGGGAAGCTAGCTGAAAAATCCCTCTCTGTTCAGTTTTCATGTTTTGGAGTTAAGCAAGCATTACCAGACTCAAGTTTTACACCTATATGTGATATGTCACCATAATGAAAATCCCACGTTTACCACCTTCACTGCTCCCCAGGAACCTAATTTTGCTATCCTTCATGGTCTCTCACAAACAGAGGCTGTAAAGGCTGCAAAAGAAATCTACAGCACTGGCTACGGTCTCTGGCAGCTAACAACTATACTGTTGTCTGATCCTATACAACTTAGTTTACGTCTAGCCTGAATATATGTACCAGTATCAGCTGAAATCACACCTTTGAGTTGCAGCCTAGGTATAGTCTAAACAAAAATGTGTTTAAGTAAATACAGAAAACCGGAATGCTTCCTTAATGAGTCCAGAAAACAACTTCTGCCTTGGTAAATAAGAAGGATCACAGCACCTAGCAAGCTCTACTAATTGAAGATTGTCTGGATATAAACACAGGCACAGCAAGGTCTGTTTTTCTCTAATATCACATGTAGAAAACAGTACTGTTTGGTAAATGTAAAAACCTAAGCACTACAGTACTTAAAATACTGCAGAAAATCTCAACAAAAATTATGACAGTGAGGACTTGAATGGTCCATACCCTGTCCTGCTTTTAGCATTAGATGGTGAACTTGGCTGGTCAGGCATTCAGTTGAATTCAGCAGGCAGTCAACCAGACTGTGGTGCAAACAAAGCATGTTTCCATGAAATGAAGCAAATTCAGGGAAATCTGAAAAGCTGTTATGTGGAAATTTGAACTAGAAGACCTCTATAGATCTCTCCCAGCCCAATATTCTGTCTTTTCAAAAGCTTAGCCAGTTGCCTTATGCATCACTGAACTCAAGGCCTGCAACAAAGCTCATTTAGGGGAACGATAAATCTTTTAATTAATCTCAACAGGTTTTGGATGAAGTCCTAGCAGAAACTGTGATTCAGCACCTCATGGAACTAGGAAGGAAGCAAAAGTATGTTTTATCACTCACAGTGAGTAGACAAGAATTATAGGGAATACTAAAAATAGGTGGGTGGAAGATCATTCTGTGGTAGTAGGAGGGCACATTCCTTGCTTGGATGTAAGCCTGAAGAATTTGTGTTTGCTGGAAAGTACTGACAGGAGCATAGGATATAAAGCTCTCCCAGAAGTGCTCAGTAATAACACTTCTGATGCTGGTTCTGATGATGGAATGTGTCAAAACGTTTTACACTACACTGACAAAGGGTGTGCCATGCACTGAAACTTGCCCTGAGCTATCAGGGTGGGGTTTCATGAAAATCTGGTTGTTATG